GGGTGGGCTTCGGTGAGCCAGAGGAGCGCGGGCCTGGTCTTGGCAGCAGGTCAGTGTGCAGATGGGCGCTGCGGGCGGCCGGGGCAATGTGGAGGTGGATGCGAGCAGGATCCTGGAGCAGCGGCAGCGCTGGGCGTGGCGGGGAGAGCGTGGAGGGTGGAGAAGAGGTCTGGAGAGTGGGGAGGAGGTGCTGGGGTGGGTAGGTGGGGAGGAAGGATCCCGCTACAGACCTAGTCACCTCCTCGACGCCCCACCTCTGCGCCCTCCATCCATTTTTGAGCCTATAATGCGGGGTGAGGGCGCCCCCGCAGTGCGACAGTGAAACGTAGGCATGTTCTGGAAATAACTTTCCTTCTCACATGCTGCGCCTGTGAAGAAATATTGACTTCTGCAAAAAGGGCGTGGGAGTGGGGCAAATTGCCTGCAGGGGAGGGGGACACAGAGGCCCAGTTTGGAAAGCATCCTGGTCTGGCGCCTGAGGGCTAAAACCAGATATGGCGACTGGGGTGCAGGGAGGTGGGGAAGGGAAACATTGGATGTAGGGCACCTGGATTCAGGAAAGGGACCTCAGTCCCCTGGATGCGCAGCCACGTCCCCTGTCTTTTGTCTGTCTGCAGATCTGCGTGTCTGTCCTCAACTTACAAGGCTAGAAAAGGAGAAGGAACCTGTCCAAAATCGCTGCAGGTCAGTGAAAGGGAGGAGAAACATTAGACAAGGACTGGGGGTGGAGTGTGGAGGGGACAGCTTGCGCAGAATTTGAGGGCCCCACTGCCCATCCCACCTCCACATATAGTGTACACACACCCTACTACCCTGAAGGATGGTGAAGAGGGTGGTAGGGCCTGCTAGGGAAAAGGTTGGCTCATGTGTGTGGAAGGAATGGTGAGGGAAAGGGTGGCAGAAGGCCAGGTCAGGGAACTCTGACAATGAGCGAGATGCTAGTACTACCCGGACCCGCGTTCATACCCCAGTCCTCAGTCTTCCTTGTCTCTTTGTCTCTTCTTTCCCCCACCCCACCCCACCTCATCCCATTCCCCAGGACGGGAAAAGGAGAGGACATCTCAACATGGAAAAACTACAATGAAAATGAAGGAAAGCTGGGAAATGAAGGAAAGCCAGAAGATGAAGTAGATACAGAAGATGAAGGAAAATCAGACGAGGAAGAAAATCCAGAAGTGGAGGGGAAGCCAAACACAAGGGAAAGCTCCAGGACGAGAAGCAGCCAGATGTTGTGGGGAAGCAAGAAAAGCAGGACAAGTCTGAAGATGAGGGAAAAGCACGCGGCTAGGGAAAGCCAGAACCCCAGGCAAAGCCAGAGAGTGAGCTGTGGGCTGCTGAAAAGCGCCAGGCTGAAGATTATGTGCCCCAGAAAGCAAAGCGAAAAACAGACAGGGGACAGATGATTCCCCTAAGGACTATCAGGAGGACTTACAGGAAAGGCATTTGAGCAGTGAGGAGATGATGAGAGAGTGCGGAGATGTGTCAAGGGCTCAGGAAGAGCTAAGGAAAAAACAGAAATGGGTGGTTTTCATTGGATGCAAAGAGAAGTGGAGGATCCATTTGTCCAAAGAGACCAACAAGATGTCAGGGGAGTGAGGGGTGGAGGTAGGGGCCAAAGGGGCTTACATGATATCCCATATCTTTAATGCCCTTGGACTTCAATTCTAATTTCTCTAATGAGAATGTTGTCGACCCTGCTTTCCCTGGTAAACGTTTTCCAGGCCATGTGCTTTAACCTTAAGCTGATACTTTGCTTTAGGTGTTACTCTCGTTACCAGAAGGCTTTTGATCCAACTACAGTGGTCTCTGTTTCAGTAGGGGATTTTCGCCCACGTGCATGGAGAGATGTTCATGGTACATTAGAAAACAACAATAAAAGGAAAAGTTTTCAGAACCGTATATACAGTATCAGCTTATTTTTGTAAAAAATTTAATGTTTGCATGATGCACGTGTGCACAGAGAAGATGGAAAATGTGTACACTGAAAAGTAGAGGTGGTGGTTTTCCTGTATGGTATCCAAAAGTAGATCTTGCCTGTACTTAAAAATGAGTCCAATCACCTGATGTGAGGTACCCCCATGCCATTCCTTTGCAGCCATGCCCATCCCCATGTTGTCCCCTAACCGTAACCATATCAGTGGGCACTGATGTCTCTTCTCCTAGGTCCTCTACCATGCTATGGCTCCCATCATGTGTGATTCCTTTCCTTTGCTTTTCTCACTCATCCTCACTTTTTCCTAAAGGATATATGGATTATGTTTGTTAAAATAAAAAATAACTAAAAGCAGAAAATAATACATGTCCAGTGATTGAACTGTTCAGTGAGTTTATGAGGGCAATGAAGGCACTTAAAATTCCTGGTGGGTCACGTTGTCAGAACGTACAATAATATGTAAAACACATTACCTCTGGGACTTATAGCCAGAGGAACTAACCTGGCAATTATAACAGACCCGTTGCTGTAAGGGTCAGTGTTGAAATGGGAATATCACTTGCTTCACAAGACTGATGAGTGGATCAGATGAGGTACTGTGTATGTGAGCTGTGTTGTGACCCTGTCCCCCAGGTACTTGAGGGAGGAATGGTTACTACACCACTCCCGTGCAGTAGAAGTTATGTGGATAGAATCAGACACTTGGAGGAGGACTGAAGGAGGTCTCACCTGTACCCAGGAATAAGTCTAAGGCAGCTGAAAGATGAGTGTTTGTGCATCCATTGAGCTCCCAGTCCCTTTCCTTGTCTGTCTGCAGGTCTGTCTGCCTGTTGTTCTCAGCACTCTGTTAAGCTAGAAAGGGAAGAAGAACCTGTTCAGAATTCCTGCT